AGGGTTACAATTTCTTTACATCCTTATCCACACTCATTTTCTATTTTTTTTTCCAGTGGAGTATACAAACTTTATTCTACAAGCAACAAGGGCATAATACATGTTTTTAAAATAACCTTTACTTTTAAAAATTTAAGTACATTAGAGGAAACTGAAAAACACAAGAAGCAAAGAACAAAGTCACAATCACAAGCAGTTTATAGTTTGACACATTATTCTAGGTCCTGTGCGTCTGTAGGCACAATATCCACTTTTATGGGACTGAGATTGTATAGTATGTGTAAGGCCGGTTGCCTTGCCGAGAGTCAAACGGACACATTCATCACTCTCCACGCCTGATAAGCGTCATCACCCGAGCTCATTATCTGGTTTTGCTACATGGCTTCCCCGCACCTGCCTCTGCATACCATACCCAAGTCCACACTCAGCACTAAATTATGCATCCAACCTCCAGCCCACTGTTAAAAAAACGCTGCAGAAAATTTTTAAAGAAGCCCCACCATACCCTGCCCGACAACAGCCTGTCCTGTACGCACCGGGCAGGCCTGCTCACCCAAGGTCCCGCTCGCCTACCAATGACAGCTAGTTTCATGTACTTCCTACTTTAACTCCATGTACTTCCTGCTCCTCAACAGCCAATAGAAATGCCTTCTCTTTGTTTCCCCAATAGCCAATCAATTGCCTGCCCTCCCCATAAACCCCCACACCCTGAACAGCCAGGCGCGACTTCTTTGGCCCCACCCTGGACCACAGAACCTCGCCTGGGAGCTGAATAAATTAGCTTCTCACTTTCTTATACTTGCCTCAGTTTCCTCATTTTGCCTCAGCAATAAATAAATCTCACAGTATGTATCATGATTTTTTACACATCATGAATATTTACCAATTCAAAATCCCAAAGCTATAGGAGCATTTTGATAACCAAAAATACACTACACCAACTCCGTCTGTTAAAAAAAATGTAACCCTGTCTTTTTTGGGATGAAAATTTCATAGAATATAAATATGGCAACATGCCTCTAGATAAACCATTGGCAGAGTTCTGATTTAAATACTGCATTCCCTTAATGCTCAACTTAAAATGAAGCATACAGCAACAGAATACACTAAGTATAATGCTTCTAAGAGAGCTCATTAGGAGATCTATACCATTAAAATATTAGTAAGGTATATTTCCATTGATTTAATATATTCCTAGAGTACAGCCACAAGAGATGCATACATTAATGGCTGTCATAAAAATGTAAACATGGACACATCTGCATACATCTCTCCTTTTATAGTTCCTTACCCTTCTGTCAACTATATAGACAATAGTGAGGAATAAAATGCACACAAAACAATGGCTAGAATATGAAAATGTCTTCTAAATATGACCAGTCTAGCATAGAACCTTCTCCTCCTTCTCAGCTCTTTCAGCTCATGTCATCTAATCAACTCAGCAAACGTAGATGTATCACTTCCAGAGCCATCTAACAACTCTGAATTTCCAAAAGCCATCTCCAGAAGACATGTATTTTCTATGATTTCTTTTAAACAAATGAGAATCTACAAGATGTGTGGTTTTCTAACTCTACTTTATCATACGTCGGCAACCTCTTTACATCTAGAAGGGCTAGATGTGACAAATGTTTTCTATTAAAATGTTGGCATGCAGTTGAGAGCAACTTTTTCATCTTATATACACAGGCCTTCCATAAATGGCCAGTGAATCTTCCCAGAGGGTGGTGGGCATTTGCAACGGGCCAAACGTGGCCTGTCATTCTGCTGTTTCTCTCTTCGGACAGAAAGGTCTGGTAGAATGAAGACTCACCGCCCCCCCACCCATGGCTGCTAACCATTCCACCTGTCGACGTTCAGAACTTCGCTTACCTCCCAGGCCTGTTAAGGCCTTTGTCTGTTGTCACGACTAGGTAGGTCTCGCCCAGTGAAGACAGAGTGGTCACTGGGGACCCGGATCTGCATGGCTCTGTGGCCTAAAGAGGCGGCCAAGCCTGCCTGCATCCTTAGGCCACCTTCCCAGGCCCTCTACTACCTAACAGCCTCCACTGTGCAGCATTCGAGCGGCCACCGTGTTTCCTGGCTCGCCACTCCTGCCGCCACCCAAAGGCGTTGCATCCTGGCAGCTCAGCTGGGACTTCGTAGAGGCCAAGCATACTTGGGCTGGGAGACCCAATGGCCAGCAGGGTCCAGGCTGGGGTATGGGCTGGGAGAAGCCGCCACCACCATCAGTCACCGAAGACGGGTGGGGTAGAGAGGCTTGCCACAGCTTCAAGGCCTGGGCCTGGCAAAGCCAGTGGGCACCCACAGTGGAGGCCTCCAGTGTCTGAAGGGCAGAGGATACTGCCTGTCCCGGGACCCCCCAGCTCACCCACCAGCCAGGGGCCGGAGGACCTGGAGGGCCCAGGGTGAGCTCGCTGTGCACTACATCTCCCCGCACTCTCTGCGGAACTGGAACTCCCATATTCATTTCCTTTCAAATCATCCTAGCAGGTGTATATTGGCATCTACTTGTGCTTTTCATTTGCATTTCCCTAATGACTAATCATGCTGAGCAGCTTTTCCTGTGCGATTGTCTGTGTGTGTATCTTCCTTAGGGAAATATATGTTCAAGTCTTTTGCCCATTTTTAAGGAGTTGTCTGATTTTTATTTAGTTTGTTGTAGATTTGGGGAGTTTTAAAATATATTCTAAATTTTAGTCTCTTACAAGATAAATGATTTGTGAATATTTCCCCCATCTGAAATTTAGATGGGCCTTGAGTCATATAAGTCATAAAAAGGTAGGAGTGGGGGCGATCTGGAAATTCCTGTTATAATCTTTTTAAGGGAATCTACTGGAAACACTTCATATTTTAAATAGAACCATCCCTTACTTAGCACTAGAATATCAAGCCTTCAGAGTCTTGCTCTGTCACCCAGGCTGGAGTGCAGTGGTGCAATCTCAGCTCACTGCAACCTCTGCCTCCCAGGTTCACGTGATTCTCCTGCCTCAGCCTCCTGAGTAGCTGGGATTACAGGTGAGCACCACCACGCCTGGCTAATTTTGTATTTTTAGTAGAGACAGGGTTTTTCCATACTGATCTCAAATTCCTGACCTCGTGATCCACCTGCCTTGGCCTCCCAAATGCTGGGATTACAGGTGTGAGCCACCGCGCCTGCTGCCATTCATTGTTTAACAGAACTTAACATTGTTTAACAGAATATAATTCAAATATCATAAATGTCACCCACATACAGTGTACAATTCAATGGTTTCTAATATATTCACAGAGGTCTGCAAAAATTACAATTTTAGACATTAATATCATTTATTAACATTCTTATATGCATACAGATGTAGATATGATTTTAATATAATCTTGAATATTATAGTATTTAATAATGTACTTTAATATCTCTTTATATTGCTGTTCTATTTTATTATTCTGAATGATGATGATCTTCATGTACCTTTACATAGGTTTAAAATAAACCTTTTACAACTCAAGAAATTTGTTTCTAGTAAATCACATAAAAAACACATATGCTATTGTTATAAAAATTCAAATACTGCTTAGGTCTATAGAATGAAATGTGTCGCCACCAGCTCCCAGCCCACTCATCCACATGCACTTACCGAAAGACATGCCCATATTTTTACATAATGTAATTCCGCTTTGTGTGTTGTTCCGACTGGCTTTCCCATATAAAATATAATTTGGTGGTCATTGCTTATCAGTACATACAGGTCTCTTTCTGATCTATAGCTGCATCATTATTCAACATTATTACCAAAATTTGGTCACTTTTTCACTGTGTAATTTTAATGTTGGATTCAGTTATTTGTTATCGTTACCCACACTGAACCTGGTCTGGACCTCACTTCCCTCCCTTTGGTGACTCCCAGCATCCTCACCCTCTTTGAAGAGCAGGAGTTCAGGTTAAGTTCCCTGAATGGTGACTCGCAGGGGCAGCTCTCCTCTCACCTGCAGCAATGACTACCCCTCCCCATCTCAAACACACAAGCTCAGGCGTGCGGGACTGGAGCCCTTGGGGACGTGTGGCCGGAAGATTCAGGACGTACAGGGCTCAGGGCGTGCAGTGGAATGAACTGGGCTTCATCTCTGGAAGGGGAAGGGGAAGGGGCCATCTTCCGGGTTCACCGCCGCATCCCCACCCCTGGCACAGCGCCTCCTGGCGACTAACATCGGTGACTTATTGAAAGTGTGATATAGCTAGCCTAGAGTTAGAACTTGTACACTGCCAGTTTATAAAGGACAAAACTGTTTCCATTCTCCTCACAATGACTGCTAGCCATGGCCTCTGTAAACTGCTAAGTTTACTTTGCAAAATGTAAAGAGAGGTAAAGTTGCATACTTTCTCTTATCTGTAACTGCCAGAATTGCTGGCCTCTGTTTACCGGTACTAACCAGAGTAAGCACCCCCAGATAATTCCATCCTGGCGCCAAGCAACTGAAAAATCTGTGGACCCCACACCTGTCCAAATAATGTATAAACTAATGTTTATCTTAACTTCTGTAAACCTCTTAAGCGGCAATCGGAATGACAAAAGTCCCCTGGCCCTTGGAATGTCCAGAGCCCCCTCACCCTAGTCTAAGCCTAGGAGGTGATTGACAGCTGTCATTCCCATCTCCACTCCTCACCCCCACTCCCAAGGTGGTTTTGCGGGTATAAAAAGATCTTGTCACCCTTCTTTCTCTGCCAAGGGTTGGAGAGACGTGAGTCCTCCGTGGTCGCCGGCAATAAACCCTGCAATTTGGCATACTTTTGTCTTGGTGTTGACTTTTTGTGCTCAGTCGGATACAACAAAAGTACTAAGAAAGACCAGAGGCCAGGCTGGGAGAAGCCGATTTCGAGCCGCCACGTGGAGATCCGCTAGGGACGATGAGCCCGGCCTAGCGGTAGTCGCTGGAAGAGCCGTCGGAGTCGCTCACGGTTAGGTCCCGCAGGGCGGAGCTGAGGCAGGCGGTGACGTCTCCACTCGGGGCGGAGCCGAGGTAGGCGGTGACGTCTCCACTCGGGGCGGAGCCGCAGCTTCGCTGGGAGGAGGCCTGGCGCCGGCGGTGACGTCCCAAAAGGCGGAACCGTATCCGAGAATTCAGGCACGTAGCTCAGCGCGGCAGCGGTGCTTGCGTCTGTGTCCCTGCGCGAATCTCCTGGTCTCTCTGCCATCATGCCGATGTTCATCGTAAACACCAACGTGCCCCGGGCTTCTGTGCCGGACGGGTTCCTCTCCGAGCTCACCCAACAGCTGGCGCAGGCCACCGGCAAGCCGCCCCAGGTTAGTTGGGAGGGTACGGGAAGAGGGGGTGCCCACTGCACGAGGGGGTCCTGCACTGGGGGCTGGGGAGGCGAATCCCGAAGGGGGCTGCGGGACAGGGCGGGAGGAAGAGGTGGCTAGGGCCCAAAGTGGACGCCAGAGGCCTGGCGAGGTAGCTGAGGCTCGCTGACCGCGCCCCTCCTCCGCAGTACATCGCAGTGCACGTGGTCCCGGACCAGCTCATGGCCTTTGGCGGTTCCAGCGATCCGTGCGCGCTCTGCAGCCTGCACAGCATAGGCAAGATTGGCGGCGCGCAGAACCGCTCCTACAGCAAGTTGCTGTGTGGCCTGCTGGCCGAGCGCCTGCGCATCAGCCCGGACAGGTATGCTGGGGCGCGGAGGGGCCGCGGCGCGAGGGGCCAGTGGTGGTGGGGGTGGCGGCGGTGGTGCCGGGCCGGGGACTGAGCCGCCCGCTGAGTCTCGCCTCCTCCCCCTGCAGGGTCTACATCAACTATTACGACATGAACGCCTCAAACGTGGGCTGGAACAACTCGACCTTCGCCTAAGAGCCGCGCCCCGCCTCTCCCCGCGCTGTCTGCACTGGCCCAACCCGGGAACCCACCTCACCCTGTATTCTAGGCCCGCCCGCCTCCACCTTCTGGTGGGGAGAAATAAACGGTTAGAGAAAGTTTCTGCTGTTACGGTGGCTACATATTCACTCATGGAGGCATGACAGGGACATCTCACTTCCTCAGAGGCACGATTAATCCAAGGAATGCCGTGGGAGGGGAGGAGAGAGCAGGTGGCCTGTGCCTCCACTCAGGTCTTGAGAGAAGCAGGGTAGTCAGACTCCACTCACCTCCGCCTCCCAAAGTGCCAGGATTACAGGCGTGTGCAGCGGCGCCCAAACGTAACGGAAGGCTTTACAGATGTGTCTGGCAAACACGAATGGTCCCAGTGGAAACCCCACGCCTGATTTCCTCAGGGAACTGTTGTGGTGAGGCTTGGGTGGCTGAGGGGAACAGAACCTAGGCTCAGGGTTTGGGATGGACAGAACCTTATAACAAATAACTGCACCTCCCCACCCACCTGCCTGCAGACTCTCCTTACATTCCCTAAAACAGCTGTTTGCAGTGAGTGGCTCTGGGTGGGAGAATCTTTCTGTCCTCTGGCTACCTTTTGCCCACCAAGAAGGCTGAGGAAGGTGGGGCTGAAAGAAAGGTCTAGGCCTAGGACCTCAGACTCCTTCCCAACTCCAACTCCTCCTCCCCCTTTTCCAGCCTCCCCTCTGGCACCCCATGTGCTGACCCCTAGGTAGAAGGGATTCAACTGTGGGTTCCCGCCCAGAGTCGTGAATCTACCTCAGGCAGCAAAGTGCCTTAGGTACTGAGTCTGCAGCCCAGGGCAGGGTGCCAATTTCTCCTCATCTCTTCATACCCCAGAATGTGGAAACACACTGGGGCTTCCCTGTTGGGAGGTAGGAGGGACAGGCTGGACAAAAGGGCTATGAACCCAGCCCTGACCCCCACCCCCAACACCATTCCAGCCTGGCTCCCTGGTGTCCCAGCCCTGCACCAATTCCTCCCGAACACCAAGGAACCCTGAGGCACTCCTGAAACCTACAAAATGAGGTTCAAGGTCGGCTAGGCTGTCCATCCGTTGGAAACAGTGGCCCTGAGGGCAGTGAGGGTCACCCGTAAGGCAGGAGTCTTTATCAGCAGATGACACAGTGCCACCAGAGTGATGGAGAGCAAGGCCGAATTATAGGCCCCACACCTGTCTGTCCCACACCTTGAGGTTTTAAGTGTAACTTAGAAACACATTTACAAGGCTGACCCTGCAGGTCCCGGGGCAGTCAAATGGTGTAAAGAAGAGACCCCCCACCTGGTGGGTGGTGGAGCCCATGCTTCAGGCTTGAGGTTTCCTTCTGGGATGGAAGAACTGTGGTGTAAGAGGCACATTCTTCGGCCCTGGTCTTTGTCACATCCCCTGAGCTCCTGGGTCCCCCCAGCGCCAGCCTCCAAAGGCCTGAGGCTGAGTTTTGCCCAAGACCCACAGGTTCCCCCCACAACAACCTTTTTCCTCCCCTTCGGGCCCCACACCCCACCAAGCCTTAGCTGGTCCCCCAACCCCTACCCCACCTCAACAGTCTTCAGCTGTGCTGCCCATAGGGAGAGCAGGGGCATGGGGCCCCATGAGCATCTGGTCCAACTCCTTCATTTCACAGATGAGGACACTGACCCCAGGGTCCAGGGCATGGTCGTACACTCAATGTCATGACCCCTACAAGGGCCCTGTGGCCTCATATGAGCAAGTTGGAGTCTCTGAGGGCCAAAGAGTTGGGCAGGGCAGGCTGGGCACCTGCTGTGTGAGGGCAGGAGAGTTGGTGGGAGATCTGCCCTCCAAAAACTGGTGAGTGTCTGAGGTTCTGTGGCCCCCTAGGGGCATCCACGAGGTCGTGGCTCCTTGGACTTCAAGGACAAAGGGGATATCTATGTGGGTCAGGGGCCTACGTATCCACTCACCCTGCCCAAAGCGTTTCCAAGTCCCCTGGGGCTTACAACCGGCCTGCCTGCTGGAGAGGGCAGCTGCTGCATCCCACACCTGCCCCCATTGACCCCCATCCCATGGCCAGCCTTGATGGCAGTGGATATGGCGGTAGGGAAAGAGACAATGAGGAAGTGTGGTCAAGTATCTACTTAGAAGTCTCCAGATGGAGCCGGGAAGTGCTAGGAGGCCAGTGAGGCTGGTGTGTGCAGCCATCAAGCCGTATTTGGCCCCTGGTGGGATGCAACTGAAATGCGTTCCCAGTGAACCACTCCCCCCGAGCCCCACACTGAAGGGCTGGCTCTAACCACTAACAGGAGCTAGCAGGGCAGGCAATGGGACAACCCTATTGCCTCTAATGCAGTAGATTAAATTAACACAGGGCCAACCTTCATATCAGAGTGGTTTTCCAGTTACCTGGGAGAGATCAGCTGATCACTGGAGCTTGGGAGATTTCCAGGATTTCTGGGCCACTGACACTGTGTTTCCGTAAAGCCCTCTTCTGCCGTCTCAGTCCCTTTCCAGGCTGAGCAGTGGCAAAGCCAAGTCTTAGTCCTCTGGGCCCGGGCCTCCCTGCATGATTTCCAAGACTAATGTGGGGGACAATGTCAACCCACCAACCAACTGCCTAGATTTCCCCTCCTGGCGAGTGAGGCCAAGCCATTTCATTTCTGTGATTGAAGCCCATGTAAAAGAGACATAGATTGTCAGTTCCAGAAACTGACTCTGTCCCTTCAGCCCGGAACCTCAGCCCTCATCTGGTGACCATGGGGTCTGGACTCACAGTTTAGCCCCCAAAACAGCCAGATAGGGCACCAAACTGAAAGGTTACAAATGAGACGCCTCATCCTCCATGTCCCTCAGTGACTTGGCTTCTTGTGTACCTAGCTCTCTTCTCAGTTTAATAGGTAACAGATTTACATGGCTCAAATTTGAAGCATGCCGAAAGGCTCCAGAGAGAAGGCTCTGTCCTGTGGCCTCCCTCCACAGGATAATCTTCTCTCAAATTCACCAGATCACTGCCTTCAGACTTGGTGACAATTTCATCATGGTTGCTTTCTTACCCTCCCCGAATTCCTTCCCAAGCATAGCTATCTCCCTTCCACTGCTACATAACCTTCCCATTGCAGTCGGTCAGGGAGATGGTTTCAAGACATCACACATTCTCCTTGGCTGCAGCACCCAAAAAAGCCTCTTTCCTGCAGTGATTGGCTTTGCAGCAAGCACTGGGACCTAGACCAAACCCCTGGGTGCTGCCCAACTGTCCCATCCCTCTAGACCGTGCCAGACACTGGCCCAGACAGGGGGCTGTGGAACAGATTACCCCTGGCTCTCTAAATTTGTTTTCTCAAAAAGAAAGAAGGCAATAATGTCTTATAAAAATAGGTGAATAACTTTAAGCCTGTAAATCCCAACCATCTGTAAGAGCACCCCATCTTACAGAAAAGCATGAGTGAGAGCTACGTGCTGAAAAGAGTCTGGAAAGGACTGTTTCCAAGAAGAGTCCCTCATAGCATGATAGGATGAGTCCTTAGTGAACTGCCAGCCAAAACAGAAAACACAGTACCAAAAAAGAATCCCTGTACCGCCATATCAGAGTATTGAGAGGGCACGTCTCTTATGTTGACAGTAAGGATCATCGTGATGACTATTAGTGAATAAAAAGCCAGAAGAAGACATGAAGGACAAGAACTTACACATTTAACATTTTGGCACAGGTCAAGTAACTACAATAGCCTATATACCAGACAGACAAGACAAAATATATTTAGAATACGTGTGAAAAGTATTGATGCAGAAATGGACATTTCTCAGAATAAGACATGACTTTACAGATACCATACAGAATATATGATCTCATGCAGACACAGGAGATGTGGTGGGGATTGCGGGTGAGCAATAGAAGATAAATTTCCTGGCTGGGTGCAGTGGCTCATGTCTGTAATCCCAGCACTTTGGGTGGCCAAGGCCAGGAGTTCAAGACCAGCCTGAGCAACATAGTGAAACCCTAGTCTATACAAAAATTTTTTTTTAAAGTTTCTTGTACCTAGAAATGAATCCAAGATGTACTCTAAAGAGAACGTCTACAGACAAAAGTAACACCTTTAAGGTCATTGGAGACCTAAATAAATGAAGAGAGCACCAAACTGACCATGTCTCTGGATTGGAGATAATATTGTGCTGGTAACAGTTCTCCTATCTGGTTGATAATTCAGCACAGTCCCGGTTGAAATTCCAACGGATTTTTCTATGGGAATTGACAATCAAATTCTAACATTTATGTGAGGCTCTAAATGACCAAGAAGAGTCAAAACCTTTTTCTTGAAGAAGGCAAGGTGTGAGGACTTGCTTTCTTAATGTCAAGACACATTGTCAAGCTATACAATTAAGGCAAAGTGGAATCAGAACATGGCAAACAGACCAGTGGAAAAGACAGTAATCCAGAAACAGACCTCTCCACACACATGGACACAATATCAGACTGGGGGAGCACTGAAATCCACGTGAAAATAAGAACTATTCAATTAGGGGTGCTGGGCAGCTGGCTACCATGTAAGGGGAAAGATCAAACTGGACCCTATTTAAATCCCACACAAAAGTCAGTTCTATGAAGATTAGAGCCATAAAGAAAAGACCACACAAAGATCTTAAAAGACGATATAGAAGAAAATCATCTCTATGATTTAAGTAAGATAAAAAATAAGTACATACAATAAGGAAAGATTGACACACTGGTATTAGTAAGACACAGAATAAAAGGCATGCTACAGTTTCTGCAAGTCATTTTAATGCAAGTAAGCCCCCAAATTGGGGCTCAGCCTGAGAAGTTTCTTGGCTTTGCACAGGAAATAATTTGGGAGTGACCCAACAGAGAAAAGTGAAAGCAAAGCAAGTTTGTTAGAGCAACAGAGCACAGAAAAGTGGGTTTCAGAGACAGAGCATCCATACAGATGGATGGATAGACAGAGAAGCACTCCTGGACTACCGGCTATCTATATTTATAGCTACTTCTTAATTATATGCTAAATAAGGGTCAGGTTATTCGTGAATTTTCTAGAAAAGGGACCCAGAGTTCCTGGATCTGAGGGTTCCTCCCCCTTTTAAACCACATAACTTTTGGTTATTGCCATGGCATTTGTAAATTGTCATGGTGCTGGTGGGAATGTCTTTTGGCATGCATTATCACCAGCATATAACAAGCAGTGAGGGCAACTAGAGGTCACCTTTGTCACCATATTGGTTTCAGCTGATTTCTATACTGCATCCTATTCTGACCAGATTATGTTTTGATCAGTAGGGTCATGACCAAGGTCTTGACCAGTGCTTGGAAAACAAGTTCTGCTGATCTCCTACTTCAACATTATGGACAAAAGACTCCTACCCAGAACATACAAAAAACGCCAACAGATACCAGGAAACCCTATAAAAAATGAGCAAAGGACTTTAGAAGCCACTTCACAAAACAGAATATCCAAATGGAAATGGTGTTTATCCTCAGAAATCAGGGAAATAAGAACCACCATGCATACCACTACCAGCCCCATCAGCTGTAACTAACATGCCCACAATCCCACTTCCTAGGTATATCTATCATGGAGAAACTTGTATCTCGAAGCAACCCAATGTCCATCAAGAACAGAATAAATTGGCCGGGTCGTGCCCACGCTGAGCCGGGAGCCGAAATGCTTCCTGGTGACGGGAGTGAGCGATGAGCAGGCTTCTGTTTCTGGCCCACAGAGTCGCCTTGGCCACCGTGTGCTGTCACCCTGCCTATCACGGGTTCGGGATGTTCTATGCCGTGAGAAGGGGCCACAAGACTGGGGTCTTTCTGACCTGGATTGAGTGCAAGGCTCAGGTGGACCGGTTTCCTGCTGCCAGATTTAAGAAGTTTGCCACAGAGGATGAGGCCTGGGCCTTTGTCAGGAAATCTGCAAGCCCAGAAGCTTCAGAAGGGCAGAAAAAGCAACATGGACAAGAATCACAGACGAAAGCCAGCAAGCGACTCCATGAGCCACTGGATGCAGATGGAAATTAAGGCACAGAGCCGTATGCAAAGCACTTGAAGCCCAGTGTGGAGCTGGTGCCTCCAGTTAGCAGAGACATGTTTTCCTACATGGGAGACTCGGTTGTCGTCTACACAGATGGCTGCTGCTCCAGTAATGGGCAGAGGAGGCCACGAGCAGGAATCAGCGTTTACTGGGGGCCGGGCCATCCTTTAAATGTAGGCATTAGACTTCCTGGGTGACAGACAAACCAAAGAGCAGAAATTCATGCAGCCTGCAAAGCCATTGAACAAGCAAAGGCTCAAAACATCAATAAATTGGTTCTGTATAGAGACAGTATGTTTACTATAAATGATATAACTATAGTATATAGTTCAAGGTTGGAAGAAAAATGGGTGGAAGACAAGTACAGGGAAAGAGGTGATCAACAAAGAGGACTTTGTGGCACTGGAGAGGCTCACCCAGGGCATGGACATCCAGTGGATGCACGTTCCTGGTCATTCGGGGTTTACGGGCAATGAAGAAGCTAATAGATCAGCCAGAGAAGGAGCTAAACAATCGAAAGACTGACCCATGTGACGTGAGTCCTTGGGAAAACTTGAGCCAGCGGCTTACTTACTAGTGTGGAAGAGAGCCTGCAGGTGGGACCATTGCAGTGGATGGGCAAATGCAGCTTTCACACGGAATCAGGGAGGCGCAGTGGCATTCTGTGACCCAATTTTATAAAAAATCGCTAAGTATATAATAAATTGAACATCTTTGAGATTGGAGAGTTATGTGAGATTTCAGCATTATGCTTACTGGGTTCCATACGTTCTTGCTTGTTTTATTGCAGGCAAGCAAAGCAAATGGCCTAAAATGCTGCAGCTTATATTTATTTTGATAAGAAATCTAAAAAAAATTGGTTAAAAGATGCAACTCAGAAGTCTGGGAGTATTCTGAAAGCATCCATTTACTGTCTGGTTTATAGGAGTGAGTCTCCTGCTTGTATAGTGACTTGTGCCTGTGGGTACATTAGAGAAACGTGCAGCCTGGGGCCTGGGCGGGCAGCTCAGTGGGCAGGATGTGTGCTGGGTCTCAGCCCCGCATGCCTGCTTGCAGGGCACTTGGTATAGGGCAAAGCCTGCCTGCAGGCAACCCTGGCTGCTAGGCCATTCTCTAGGAACAGTTACAACCTGTAAAGACCAAGATGTGTAAATAAGTCTCTCAAAAATTTATTTGGTTCTTCTGTTAAAAACTGTGCAAATTAAAAATGTTTGACCCTGAAAAAAAAAGACTAGAATAAATTGTACTTATTAAATCATGGAATATTCAACAGCAGTGAAAATAACAAGGTATAGGTACAAACATCACCATGGACAAATCTCATAAACATATTGAGCAAAAGCCAACAGATACATATAAGGCAGTTCCATTTATATAAAGTTTGAAAACAAGGCTCCCCAAACTACATTGTTCAGAGGACCACGTGTAGGTGGGAAAATCGTGATGAAAACCAGGAAATGATTTCTATCATGGTCAGGACAGCAGTTCCCCTGGCCAGAGGCATTAGAGAGGTAATGGGTGCTGCAGTGTTTTTCTCTCTCTTCTTACAAGTGACTGTATATACTTATTAAAACCTATACATTTTTCTATGTGTATCTTATATTCCCTGATAAAAAAGTTAACATGCAGAAGGAAGTGAAGAGCACCACCACCAGGGCAACTGTTGGGTACTGTGCCATGCAGAGGCGCTACCCAACTGCCCCATCCCTCTAAGACCTTGCCCACACTGGCCCATACAGGGGGCTGTTCCCACTTTTCTGGCCTCTCCCCAGCCCACCCCCAGCCTCCCTGAGCTTCCCACCACAGTGTTTCTGCTGGGAGTGGGGGCCGTTCTTCCTCACCTCCTTATTTCCCCATGAGGTGCTTATGCCCCTGAACAAGCACCCCCTTAGTGCCCCCCAACTAGTTTTTCTGGGTCCTGCTTTGCCATGTGCTCCCTGCCCTCTGGCATGTGCTATGACCCTCACAACTGTCATAGAGGCCTCAGGATTGGAATGGGAAGAAAGGCGTGTTCTGTTTAAACGCCCTTAAATCCAGCAGAGGCTTTGAGCTTTGAGTCCTCACAAGTAACTGTAAGGGTTATTGCCGAGTTTAAAATGAGGAAACTGAGGCCAGTATAAGAAAATTAAATGCCAATTTATTCAGCTCCCAGGTGAGGTTCTATGGTCTGGGGAATGGGGACCAGAGAAGATTTCCTGGGGAGTGGGGTTTTTATGGCTATGAGAAACGAGCAACAGCTGGGTGCTCTGATTGGCTCCAGGGGAGCGGGATTGGGACGGGGTGGGCCACCATTGGTTGGCGGTTTGTTGGGCGGGGTTTCCAGTGTGAGAGCAGACCAGGGTTGCATCAGCAGGAGCATTCCAGGGGAGCCATGCAGCAGAGCTAGGTGCCGAGTGTAGAGCCTAGTGCTGGGTACAGAGTCAGGTGCTGAGTGCAGAGGTGGGTGTGTCCGGCCTCCTGGCGAGGCAGCCAGCATTAGAGTAACTACAAAGTCTGAGGGTTTGGGGATGCCTGATGTGTGCAGAAGGCTTCATTGGGACCACGCTGGCTTCTGGCCTTGGCAGTTCCCCATAGTGCTTTGGAGCTGTGAGCTGGTGCTTACAGTCTTAGGTTTGGCTTTTAACTAGTGACCCAGGCTGGAGGGTCTACCTTGCTGATATAAAGCAAAGTCCCCACGGGGGTATGACCTAGGCAGCTCAAGACAGTGCTTTGGGAGGGGTCACAGCTCAGAGCCATGTTCTCCGAGTCCCGCATGGGCCTCCCTTGAGCCAAACAACGAAAGAAAAGAGGAAGCTACAGAAGAGTCCAGACCCCTGAAGAATGAATGGAGGACAGCAGGCCCAGGCTTGCTGCCTTTACTGTGTTCTCAGCCAGGTCTGAGGTTACCACTTCCAACTGCAAATGCAGAAAAAGACCAGTGCGCTCTGGTATGAATTTTGTGCCACCCATAGTGGAGTTGTCCTAGATGAACTGTCACCAAAGCCTCCTGCCAGAACAGGGACTGGGGAGGGTCCCTCCTGAACCCACAAAGCACATCCCTAGGCCTGCAGAGTTAGTCCCCTCTGTGTGACTTAGCTTGGCCTCAGATGTGCCTTTTGTTTTAATTTACAGTTTGTTTTTATTTGTTTTTTCTTTTCAGAGACAGTGTCTCTGTTGCCCATGCTACAATGCAGTGGTGTAATCGAGCTCACAGTAGCCTTGAACTCCCAGGCTTAAGCCATCTTCCCGACTCAGCCTCCTGAGTGGCTGAGACTAGTCTTGTACCACCATGCCCAGCTAATTATATTTTTACTTTTGTAGAGACAGGATTTCCGCAGGCCAGCCTCAAGTGATCCTCCTGCCTTGGCATTCCAGAATATTACAGGGATTGCAGGTATGAGCCACTGTGCGCGGCTATTACATACATTTTGATCCAAGAGTTGGGAGATTAGGATCCAAGATGGCCGACCACTAACAGCTCAGGACTGTAGCTCCCAGTGAAAGCCCAGAGAACGAGACGACGCCACACTTTTAGAAAAATTTTCGTCACTTACCGATCAGCCGATTCCCAGTGGAGGAGCCCCACGGGTCGCCAGCGCAACTCTTGTGGCCGCCGCAGCGGTTTTGCCGTCTAGGCGCAGCAGCTCTTCATGCAGAGCCAACGGGACTGCTTCCCCTACTGACCAGAGTTTGGAGCTCCGGGAAGTCAGAGCCGCTTGTTGCGGACTCAAGAGGGAAGCCAGACCAGAGATTCCCGGGCAGAAGAGCACCATCAGTCTTATCGCTGCTATTTAGGCCGCCACAGTGGGTTGCTCAGATCCCAGCACTGGGAATCAATAAGTCGGACGTCGACTCAGAAAACTAATTAGAAAGGCGGTTCATCTACAATGAAGGGAAAAAAACAGCCTAAGAAGGCCGAGTATACTCAAAACCAGAACCCATCAGCAACAGAACAAGCCCTGATGGAAAAGGACTCATCAGTAACGGAACAAGCCCTGATGGAAAAGGACTGTGTTCCATTATCTGAAGTAGGCTTTAAAAGGTGGATGATAAGAAACTTCTGGGAGTTAAAGGAACTTGTTCTAACCCAATGTAAAGAAACTAAGAACTTGGAAAAAAGGTTCGATGAAATGTTGAAAAGAATAGACAATATAGAGAGGAATACAAATGAACTTATGGAGTTGAAAAATACAACACGAGAACTTAGTGAAATTTGTACAAGCTTAAACAGCCGAATGGATCAAGCAGAAGAAAGGGTATCAGAGGTCGAAGATCAACTTAATGAAACAAAACAACAAGACAAGAATAGAGAAAAAAGGATAAAAAGGAATGAGCAAAGTCTCCAAGAAATATGGGACTATGTGAAAAGACCTAATATACGCTTGATCGGTGTACCTGAATGTGACGGAGAGAATGAATTCAAGCTGGAAAATACTCTCCAGGACATTATCCAGGAAAATTTTCCTAATTTAGCAAAGCAGGACACTATTCAACCCCAGGCAATACACAGAACACCACAAAGATATTCCTCAAGTAGACCAACCCCAAGGCACATAATCGTTAGATTCACCAAGATCGAAACGAAGGAGAAAATATTAAGGGCAGCCAGAGAGAAAGATCAAGTTACCCATAAAGGTAAGCCTGTTAGGCTTACAGCAGATCTCTCAACGGAAACCCTACAAGCTAGAAGAGAGTGGGGGCCAATATTCAATATACTTAATCAACAGAACTTTCATCCCAGAATTTCATATCCTGCCAATTTAAGCTTTACATTTGAAGGAAAAATAAAATCTTTCAGGAACAAGCAAGTACTCAGAGATTTTATTACCACCAGGCCTGCTCTACAAGAACTTCTAAAAGAAGCATTATACGCAGAAAGGAACAACCAGTATGACCCTTTCTAAAAATACACCAAAAAGTAAAGAGCATTAACATAAAGAAGAATTTTTATAAACGAAAGGACAAAATAGCCAGTTAATATCAAATGGCAGCAACCCTAAATTTAAATTGACCAAATCTCCCAATTAAAAGATACAGACAAAATCTAACGGTATATCCAAAGATATACATAGACTCAAAATAAAGGGTTGGAAAAAAAAAAATGTACCAACCAAATGGAGAGCAAAAATAAATAAATAAAAAGCAGGAGTTGCAATTTTCACATTTGACAAAATAGATTTCAAAGCTACAAGGATACAAGGGTAAAAGGATTAATGTAATAATAAGAGATCTTAACACCCAGATACATAAGACCCATAATGAGATTTAGATTCAACGAGACAGAAAATTGATAACGATATCCGGGACCGGAACTAAGATCCAGAACAAATAAACTCAATAGAGCTCTCCATTTTAAACACACAAAATATACATTATCCACAAAATCTAACGATATATCTAAAGATATACAAAGACTCAAAACAAGGGGATGGAAAAAAAAACTTACCAACCAAATGAAGAGCAAAAATAAATAAATAAAAAGCAGGAGTTGCAATTCTCACATTTAATAAAATAGATTTCAAAGCTACAAGGATGCAAGGGTAAAAGGATTAATGCAACAATAAGAGATCTTAACACCCAGATACATAAGACACATAAAGAGATTTAGAGTCAACGAGACAACAAATTGATAACGATATCCAGGACTTGAACTCAGAGCCAGAACAAATAAACACAATAGAGGTCTCCATTTTAAACACATAAAATATGCATTAACCACTTTAAACACTCAAAATATTGATCGGCCATTATTGAAACCCATTTTAGGAATGAAGTAATATTCCTTTTTCCCTCTTTTTCTTTTTTTTCCCTTCTTTAAAAAAATAAAAATTAAAATTAAAAAAATAAACAAATAAATAAAAAGAACCAACAAAAAAAAAAAAAAAAAAAGAGTTGGGAGATTAAAGTCATGGCTTTGCCCACAGAAAGGCAAGAGTTTGTTAATGGACAACAGTATTAAAAGGCATCGGGGCCCTTCAGAGAATAGGCTATTTTCTCGGGTTGAGACAGAGAAAGAATGAAATCAATACACATCCCAAAGCTAGCAAGGGCCATACAAGTGGCTTGTGCTGAGAACCGTCTGTTCCAGGGAATCGGGTTTACTCAGGAGATCCAGAAGGAACTGGAATGGTTTGAAAAACACACCACAATCTTACACTTAGAATGGGAGCAGTGGTGTTAGGAGGCAGGCTGAGCAGAAATGAAGGGGTCATGGGGCCCTGGAGTGGGC